AAGACCTGTTACTGAGATGTAGATATAGATATTCACACATTGGAGACAGATAGGAAATTGTTACTGAATGCACTCTGAGTAGCAGACATTTGGACATGCTTTTAAAAGTAAGGGGGAAAGAAACTGTAGAAACCATTGTATCTACTCTTGTAGGCAACTGTCATGTCCATCCAATATCATGTCACAGGCAGTGGCATGTACCTGTCAGTATTTATGAGTATGTTATTCAGATACATATGTAATAATAAGATTTACCCTTGATATGAATTAAGTTTTAGAAACTGTGGTATAGGCTCATTTTACAAAATGAAAAGCTATATCTTTTAAGGTCAGTTGAAGTCTGATAAAAGGCGAGACAAGTTCATTCCATCACATAAGTTAAATGAAATTTGGAAGTTGTATGCACTAATTCTGAAAATAAAAAAAGTCAGACAAGTAATAAATGTATGAAGTAATACTCAGCCAACAAATACTGTATTTAAACACAAAGCAGACAAACACATTTACCTGCCCAATTCATTTTCATATTTCTTCCATTTATTCTTACAGATGAGTGATGAAAGTGGTCAAAGGGTCTATCAAGTGAGAGGAAATGGAATGGAAAGCAAGCAGACAGGAGTGGGCAACCTGGGACAGAAAAACACCCAGACAGAGCTGGTGCAAGTTCCCCCTGTGGTCGTCCACACGCAAGCTGGAGTTGCCTTAATGCAAACAGGGATTTTACATAATCAGCCACTTGTACATACCAACATTAATGCACATTCCCAAGTCCAAACACACTCGCAGATCAGTGCCCACTCTCAAACTCTGCAGAGTTTAGGACATACTCCAACTCATGTCCATGTTCAACCTCACACAACAATACAGCAACAGACCCACTTGCAGCAGGACAATCAGATCCAACAGCAAGCGATTATACAACAACAGACACCAACACAACAGAAACTTGTACAGCCACAGACCCATACCTCATCACAGACACTTTCCCAGCCTCTTACAGAAGTGTCCCCTCTAACAAGGGCTCTCTTAGTGTACACACAACCACAGTTACAACCAGAATCTCAAATCCAGACGCAAGAAATCCACACCCAGCCGCAGGTACACACCCACACCCAAATCCAAACACACAGCCCAGTGCAGATTCAACCTCAGATCCACTCCCAAGCTCAGCTTCACATCCAGCCTCAGGTGCATACAAACTCCCAAGTACAAGTCCAGTCTCTTACGCATGCACAGCAACAGCATGTGGAAGTGCAGCCTCAGCTCTCCCACTCTCAGTGTTCACTACAGCCACAGCTGCCTACTGCTGCCCAGACACCAATAATGCACACTATTGCTGATTTAGCAGAAGTACAGGTAATAAGACTGGTATTACAGTTTATTCTAGTGCCCAACTTGTATACTGTAAAGATTGTATCATTCATTTATTATTACTGATATATCTATATATCTATATATTTATATGTGTATATATATGTATATTATACATATTTGTATGTGCATATATATATATATATATATATATATATATATATATATATATATATATATATATATATATATATATATATATATATATATATATATACACACACACACACACACACACACACACACACACACACACACACACACACACACACACACACACACACACACACACACACACACACACACAACATATTTACACACACATACATATGTGTATATTTATATTTTTTTGTTAAAGCCATACACTTTTTTTAAGCTGGCATAATATTGGTTTTAGTTGCAGAGTTCAAATCAGCAAGCAACAAAGGGCAGTGATGGTCTGATTGCAGTACGTGTACCAGTGACACGGCAGCATGATTCATCTGCTTTCAACACACGTAACTTACAAACCACGAGTCTTGAACTTGGCCAGGTTCAAACTGCAAATTCGCAAGCTCAGCTCAATCAAACTCTCACATCCATCTCCCAGGAGCTTAGTACCTCACTCAACCAGAGCCAGATAGTGGATGCCTTAGGAACAGAGAGGGTGTTCGTAGCATCGAAAAATAACAATGTTCAGTCATCAGTCACTCTTGGATCTTCTGTTACTTCTGTTGGAATTGATGGCCTACCTGTGATGCGACTACAAGGAAATTTCAATATCCAGCTTGATGATACTTCCCTCCCTATGATGAATTCACCAAAGACCTCATCTAATACTGAAATACCTCTAGTACAGCAGCTAGTAAATTCAGATATAACAACTACTCAGTTAGATACTACTCAACTTACAACTACACCAGTTAGTAGTTTGCATGTAATTCCACAGGGAGGTATAGTACCCTCAGAAGTCAAGAAGAATAATGCACACTTTAATTCTTTGATTTCTAACAACAGATTGTTGAATAAAATGCTTGATACTGTTAAACCTCACATTCCGTCCCAAGTATCAAAGCAGGCAGAAATTGCTCACCTTTTGCCGAATCCAACAATTAGAACCACCAGTGGACAACGCATTGAAGAGCTTGAAGATGGTTCAGTAATGGCTTTTGCAGCATCCAGTCGTGGTACTAGCCCATTAACTACTTCAGCAAACAACCCAGGTGCCAGCATATGCTCAGTGACAGGGGCTCTGCATGGTTCCAGTGGATATGGTGATTCGGTAGATAAAACTGCTACAACTTTGCAACTAGATAGTATTGTAGGACTTTCAACAAACTTCCAGGTTAATGATAATACTTTGATACTTCCTTCTTCTATGGCTCAGGGACAAACATCTCAGCAAAGACAGTTTGATAATTTACAGCAAATTCTTGGCACTCAGGTTTCAAAACAAATTGTTGACCCACAGTTAGATGATTTAAAAGGTGATCAACTTAGAATTTGGTCCACTACTGTACCAACAACACAATTGAGCCAAGTAACAACAAGTAATGCAACAAGTAATATCACTTCTGCGGGACATTCAGCAATAGAAAAAAATATGAAGAGATCCAACCTGCAGTCAGTGAATCAAGGTAATGGAAACTTGAGATCTTATAATGTTATGTGTGTACCAGAAGGGTTGAATAAAACAGGAATGCTCCTAGACATGCCTGTTAGATCACAGGGAAATGTTTGTACAAAATCAGGCTTGATAACTTCCATAGATCCAATGTTCCCCACAGTTGTTGTCACTTCAGGCAGTTCTTCCCCAACATCACTTGGAACTTATGGGACCTCTAAAACATCAGGTACATCCCATGAGAGTACAACTCGTGTGAGATTAGCAGATCTTTTGAATAGAGGATCAAGCACTGATACCTTGCTGGGGGGTGGTACAAGTCTGTCACTAATGGGATTATCAGAGAGTCGACTTCCGCACACTGGTGATGTACTCCTGTCAGAGTTGCATCGTAGTGATGAGAGTGATCTGAGCCTAAGTGCCTCTTTAACTGGCTCTGCAGGTGATGAGCTTCACAGCAATGCAAATGCTCTGGTAACAGAGGCTTCTCTTGGACCTGGGATTGGAGGAGACACTGCACCACTCCAGGGATTGCCATCCCCTCCACTTCCAAGTTTTAGCTTACCAAATATAACCTCTGATTTCATTGTAAGCGGAGTATCAAATAATAAAGCCTGTCCATCTAACCAAGGTCCACTCCCAGCTTTGCTTTCAAATTTGGCTACAACGGCTGACCTTGATCAGTTTTTAGAAAATTCTAACATGTGTATTGACATGAATAGTCTTTCAGAGTCTGATGCCTCACTAAGCACAGGTCCGGGTACATTTGTTTACTCACCAGAAAAGGCTGATAATTCAAAGAAATCATCCTCAACAAGCTCAGCAGACCTTACTTTCACTAGTGCTCTGAAAGCTGCCACCAATAAATCAGAAAATGAGCAGTTAAAATTAGGCTCAGAATTAGAGTCTTCCAGTAGACTTTTGCAACACCAGGACTCAACTGTGCTAATTGAAACTACAAAGTCCTCCACACCAGTGGCTTCCACAAAAAATAGTGCTTCGGGGTCATTTAGTGGTCAGTTTTCATCATCGCAGGTGTCTTTAGGAACACAGAAGGTACATTCAAACAGCTCAAAGAAATCTGAAGGTCAAGGTAGTGCCAAAAATACAGGTCATAGTGAAAAGAGGAAAGAAATATTCAGAAAGAATGAACTTCTTGTACAACAGGTAGCTTGCTTTAAGTGTCGCTTATGTTCCTGTTTGAGTCAGGACAGAAGCCTGATGGTCAAACACATGAAAGAAATGCACAGTCAGTATCTTTCCGAGTCAGAAGAATCAGAAGAGGAGGTGGAAAGACCTGTGTCAAAAAGAGTTAAAGTCTTTGTGCCAAGGAGTGAGAGCAGCCAGTCTGAGGGTTCACCACCACCCAATCCTCCAAGTAAGAGTAAAGAAAAGTCAAGCAAAAAGAAACAGAAGGAATCTGTGATGAAAGTGGAGAATGCCAAAGCAGCATCAAGCAAGGGGAAGAAAAAGGTTAAAGTAGAAGAAGAGAGACAACCCAATGGTACTATAGGGGTATTCATAAAAGCAGAGCCAAAAGAGGGGGACTTGGTAGTGAAGAAAGAGCGTGAAAAGGAGACAGAGGAGGATGAAGACCTCCAATTAACAATTGAATTAGAAAACAGAGGAGAGAATAAGAGTGATCAGGACTATGATGATGATGACACCAATGACAGTACCACAACGAATGACAGTGGTAGTGTTAGCTCGGTGAAAACATGCCATGGCAAAGGTGATCAACCTTTGTACAACAAAAATGCAGGCATCAAATTAAAAAGGAGTAATTCCAAAGTTCGTTTGCCTGACAAAAGCCATGGAATCAAGTGTGATGTAAATGGCTGTAATGTAAGGCTTAAGAGCGAGAGCAATATTGCATATCACCGAAAGTGTCATGTAGAGAATTCCATGCAGTGCCAGGAGTGTCCCACAAAATTCGGAACATGGAGGGATTTGGCTCTTCACCTTTGGCGACATCACCTCATTGACATTGATTTGCACAAGTGTGATAAGTGTGACTACAAGTGTTATAGGTAAGTTTCATTTCTTGTCATTTGTTCCAGTAAGTACTGGGTCTTTAATGATATAAATGCATATGCTTATTTATTTTTTATGTGTATGTATCTTGTTTAGAAAGTGATAGCAGAATAAAATGTAATATATGTAAATATATTTAGTCTATATGTATCTATAAAACTATTTAATTTTTCTGAGATAAATAGTTTTCTATTGTTAATCTTCTTATTTAGCTGCTCTTTCAAAATTTTGTATTTGATTCTTTTTAGACCTAACTGTTATTTGGCAGTCATTAATTTTCATAGTTCAAATTTCAGTAATTGCTTTATTTACTAAATTTCCTTTGTTGTAGATTTTGAATGATGATATTTGTTTGCATAAATTATTTTTTTTAATATCTAGAAAAATGGCAATATATGGAAGTATAAGGTAGCAAAAGTTTTCACACTCAGTAAGGTATGGCATATCCAGCAGATAACCTGACAGTTGATGCTTTATGGCGAGTGAAATAAAAGAAGGAAGAAATGGGGAAAGAAAATAGAGATTTGAAGACAATACATTTATTTATTTGTTTACTTTTTACAGCCACATCAAATAGATGGTTGTACACGAGATTTGAAGAAGATACATTTATTTATTTGTTTACTTGTATATTTTACAGCTACAGCAAACTGATGAATGTACATCACAAGATACACAGTGATGAAAGACCATCCCTGTGTGACACATGTGGCAAGAGGTTCAAAACTACAAAACAATTACGTAACCACAAGGTATGTGCTCATTATTTATGATAATAGTTGTTATTATTTTTTTCTTTGTTTATATAATTCTTCTTCTTATTATTATTATAATTATTATTTTTGTTAATTGTTGTTATTGTTATTGTTATTATTTTTGTTGTTATTGTTATTGTTATTATTATTATTATTATTATTATTATTATTATTATTATTATTATTATTATTATTATTATTATTATTATTATTATTATCATTTCTATTACAGTGATGTTCATTATTATTATTTTTATTATTATTATTATTATTATTATTATTTTATTATTATTATTGTTATTTTTATTGTTATTATTGTTATTGTTATTATTATTGTTATTGTTTGTTGTTATTTATTATTATTTGTTATTATTGTTTTTTTTGTTATTATTGTTATTGTTATTTTTATTGTTATTATTAATGTTATTGTTATTCATGTTCTTGTTCTTGTTATGATAGTAATTTTTGTTATTGTGTAATTTTATCCTCCTCTCCTCCTGCCTTCTCCTCCTCTTTCTCCTTATCATGGTTATTATCAGCACAATTGTCTATCATTTTGACTACTAGATTGTTGTGATTTTATAATGACTTGAACTCAAAAATATTTCACCTCTCCTTGTAATTCCCCACCTCCCCTCTAGGCTCTCCACCTAAAAGTGCCGCAGATCTTGTGCGAGACCTGCCAGAGACCATTTACAGACAAGCGGATGCTGCGAAATCACATTGAGTTTGTACACAAGAAAGTGAAGCCGTTCTTGTGTAACTATTGTGGCTATTCAACTGCTTCCAAATCTACCCTTAAGATGCACATGCGGCAACACACAGGTAAGGCTTTCATATAGATGGTACAAAAAGGAGTGTGAAAGAATGAGTGATTGAGTGAACGAATGAAATTGTATATTAAGGAATGAATAAAGAAAGAAAGAATGGTTAGATGAAAGAAATAATGGAAGAAGGAAAAATGAGACTACATAAAAAAAAAAAAAAAAAAAAAAAAAAAAAAAAAAAAAAAATTGTCTACTCCATAAACTGATGTAAAATCTATACTGAAGTTAATGCATTGCAACCCAAAATGATCCTGACAGTTTTTTTATTATGATATTTTATGATTCCAAATCTAAATCCGATCCATCATTTCTTTCAGGAGTTATTGGTCCAAAACCAACAAATTTTTTGCACCCGAGTCTATCAGAAGAATTTTTTTTTTTTTTTTTCCTAGTTTCTGTTAAGAGGTCTGTGTAAGGCTATAAGGGTTAGGGAAAGAAAGAAAGAAAGAAAGAAAGAAAGAAAGAAAGAAAGAAAGAAAGAAAGAAAGTAAAAAAAACAAAAAAAACAATAAACATTTATATACCCAGACACACAAGATTTAGTCATTCACACATCCTTTTTCTGACATCGGTCATTATCCATTCTGTTTACGAGATGAATTCACATTTACAGGTGAAAAACCCTTTGCCTGTGAGGAATGTTCTTACAGGACAGCTGACCACAACTCATTACGGAGGCACAAGATGCAGCATTCAGGCATAAGGCCTTATCGTTGCCCGTACTGCGATTACGCTTCCATCCAGTCCACGACGTTCAAGGTTCATCTCAAGGACAAGCATCCAGACCTTGGTAAGTTCTTGTTTGCCCTGTGAAAATGTAATTTATTTAATGCTGTTCTGATTATTGTGAATTGCTTTCATTTTGAACATCATCATCATTATTTTTATTGTTATTGTTATTCTGTTATATTTTATGATAATGATCATCATCTTATCATTATTATTTTTCTGTTATGTTTTATTACTCTTTTGTGACTGCATTTCAGCCCAGAGAAATGGCATCATGTTTACCTGTGTGGTGTGCCCCTTCAAGACTATAAAACGAGACAATTATCTGGCGCATGTCGCTGAACACAGCAAAAATGACAACAAGAAGTTACGACAGAGTGTTAGCTCAACCACCACCACTACCACAACTACAACCACCACAACCACCACTACTACTGCAACCAAAGATACATCACCAGAGGTCAGTCATCTTATCATGTAAATATTTTATGTTATGCAACTATGATGAACCTAATTATCAAATTTTTTTACTGTTACTGAAACCATTGCTGCTGGGTAAATGTAATGGTCAATGTACTTTTGTTTTCTTATATGTCTCTACACTATGGGTCCAGAAGTGCTTAGCCACCAAGAATTCAATTTGTAGCCCTTGAGACTTCACCCAATTTCAGCTTCCCTTTGTAGTTTTTGGGAAAAGGGCCTATATCATCAATGCTCTCAATATTATTGCTTTTATTATTGTCTTAAACATTACAATTATTATAATGTTATTAAGATTACTGAAAGCAGAGGTTCAGCAGTATTAAATGAAAGGAAATATTTCCAGAAAGCAAGGAAAAGAGTAACAAGTGAAATAAGTAGAAATAGTGATTGACACCCTGGTGACTAAACACTTGTAGAGCAGTCTGTACGTAAAGTCAGTTAAGTAACTAAATTAATATTTCCCATAGTTCCAACTGGTACACCATGAGTGAGGCATTACTTGTGTATTATGAAGTATTTCTTGAATGGCGTGGTCGGTCTCTAATGGTTGGTTTAACCACTCTGATCTGAATGATATGACCATCATGTCATGAAAAAAATTTGCCTTGAGGGGCGGATGACATAAATATTCCATCAAGGGAAAATCTGGCTATGGGCTGGGGTGATGTGAGCTTGCCATATTGAGCATTCCACTAGAAGGCCAGGGTGATGGGAAAGACTTGACACAAATGCACAAACCTCTTGGAGGGTCATGTGATTGCTGTGAAGTAACTGGATCTAATAGGTTAAATGATTACAGTAAAGAGGTCTGATTGAAGAAGTGAAGTTAAAATTTTATAACTATTCAAATTGCAATCTCAAGATGAACTTTTATGTACAACTTGTCTCTTAAAAAAAAAAAGAAGAAAAGAAAAATGCTTTGACAACTGCAGTTGATGAATGAAATAGTAAAAGTGCATTTTTTGAGGAGGTAGAATTATTTATGTGCTTATGATTTAATATATGCTTAGAATGTAAAACTCCACAAAAGATTTTGTATTTGGCACAAGCTGCTTTATCTACGCCTGAGTTTATTGTTGGTTGTTTATGCTATGAGACATAGCAGACAGACAGACAGACAGACTCCAGACAGGGAACGGGATTGAGATGCAAGGTGAATAGAGCAGATATTGAATGACATTGCATCTATTTAACTCTTTATGTTTTTCCATTTAAACATTGTAAATATTTTCCCCCAAACCTTTCAAATGATCTTCATAATCCACCCAAGGGGACTGTCCCTAAAAATAGTGGGGGGGTAGTGGGGTAATGGGGAGGGGAAAAGAGGGGGTAAGGGGGGTCGGAAATTTATGATCTAATTCTCTCCTCTACAAACTTTGAATTCATTTAAAGGGAATCACTCTGTGTGATATTAGTATGCTTTCCAGATCTCTTACAAGTCGTCAGTATAAACAACCCTTTAAGCAATTATGTTATTTGTCATTTATAAATTCCATGAGGAATATGAGCAGAGACATTGATTCAGGTGAGAAAACCTTTTGATTTATATTTACAGACCAAAACAAAATATGACTTATATTATGCCTTTTCAAAAGGATATGTTTTACATTTATAAATATAATAAAGACGCATATATCTTTGTCAAAGATTGAGATTAAATGTCATCGATGTTTGGCTCTTTAGATTGTGCTACAGTTGACAGTTACACCATTTCCAATTGCTCTTTTTTAAGGAAAACACCACATATTTCAAGCAGTAGTATTGGTATTAGACAAAAATATATGTAATGATTCCAAACTTAATTTTAATGGCTGACATTAGTTGTCAGTGAAAGTACTTGCAAAACATCTTGAGCCAATCTCAGCCTTTTTACAAACAAAGAATTCACAGAATACTGGATACTAAGCATATATTGCCAAAAAAATGCTGTCCACACACCTTATGGGTGTACCTGTTGGAACTATGGGAAATTGTACATACTTGCCATCCCAAGTAGCATTCTGTTAAGAGGAAGGAGAGAAAAAATACTTTGGTTCACTTGAATTGAGCAGGATTACTTTTCATATTTATTGTATTTTGATAAGAATTGCTGTGCTTTTAGAACATAATTACTGTAATGCAGTATCTGTAATTTCTTATTTATGAAGATGATTTCAGAAAAGTAATAGTTCAGTCAATGTTATTGCATTAGAGTTTATTTATCTTTGTTTTTATTAATATTTGTTTTTTTAAATAATTTCATTTATGAAAAAAGTAACAGGCGCTGTGACAAACGCATATATTTCAGACCACTTAATACCATAGCTTTTTTGGTTATTTGTTGTGTGATATTGTATAAATGTGTTTCAGACTATTGTAAGTGATATGAATCCTCCTCCACCACATGTAGTCAATATTGATGTCAACAGTGGAACAGTAACTGTTGAGACTCCACAAGAAACAGATTTTCTAACCAACGTCAATGTGTCGGTAAGAGATCAAGTGCTTGTACCTGTTAAGGCCTCATTATTCTATTTGTTTGTTATTTTTATGGATTGACAATTTGTTAAGATAAGTCAAGCATAAAGTCTTCATTGCAGTAAAGTATTAGAATTTGTTATCTTTTTCATTTTAGCTCTTTTATGTTTATTATCAGTAATATCATTTATTTATAATGTGAATGAATGCTTTGATATGATGAGTAAAAGGAATATTTGCATTTTAGGGTGGACTCCAGTTACCTATATCAGGTCAGGTGATCATGGCCGGAGATCAGTATTTTTATGCAACTCTGGATTCCGCAGTTTTATCTCAGGTAAGATTTTAGATTTTAAGGATATTATTATTATTATTATTATTATTATTATTATTATTATTATTATTATTATTATTATTATTATTATTATTATTATTATTATTATTATTTTTTTTACAGTAGTTGGTGTTGATAAGATTTACATTGTAAGTGTGTGAATAGTTTGGTTTTGTGAAGGAAAATAATGCAGAATTTGATACTAGTCAGCAATTAGCTAATGCTCATTTTGAAAGGTGTTATTGGTAGTTTGTCCATATATCATGGTCTGTTTTTGCTTTAGATGATGTAGTGTGTTGCATCACCAACAACTTGTACGCATAAACTGTCTCTGCAACCATCTTATATTAGTGTTAATGTGGGTGTGTCAGAGTAGCCATGAAAACAAGAAAACTGTATGGAATATATTGATTGCAACATTAAGTTTAGCTAGTAAATAATCTTGGTGTGTTTGTTAAAAACATACATGAGAATACCTTTATCATGAAAGTATGAGCAATGAATAGTAGACTTTTAGGTATATTTCTTATTAGAGTATATTTCTGTAGTTTGTATGATATTAGTTGATAATTTGTTAAATCATTAAATTCTGGATTAGGAAATTCAACAAGATGTTCAGAATTATAATTGTATCACACATTAATTTTAAGGAGAATGTCTACCTTCAATATAGCCTTAAGTGCAAGTTTTGGCAGTTTGGAGACACATGTATTTTTTTCAATATTAATCCTTTTTCTGTAGATGTGCTTTTGCTCTTTTGACATTTTCCATGGTGATTATTTGTTATTTGTTATGGTGTATTTAAGATGATACAGACTTTGTTGAGCAGACTTCATATTCCTCTAGATAGTATAAACTTATAACAACAACTGTAACAATAACAGATATTATATTATTTGCTATTTTTTAAGAGACATTTTCATATTTATTTGTCTGTTTTCTATAAAACATTTGTTATGGTAGTGTGTAAATTACAGTGGTTAAATAGCTTTGGCTTGACATATTTTTGAAAACCAAGTTTTTTTTAATGTTTTTTTTTTAAAGACCAAAACATGTTATTTTTATTAGTAATATTTAGAATGTATCACTAGATATATTTTATCTTCCAGTGTTTATGCTAAATATTATAGAATGCAGTACTTTATATATATGAATGAAATACTGTACTGGATAACCTACAATTATGCTGTAACAGAAGTATGTTCCTTATCAGATAGGGATGGTTACAAACTAGTAACCCAGGAGCATGATTTATTAAAATTGTTTTATTAATTCTTGGTGCTCTGGTATGCAGAATTGCCCTATATACACAGGGACTTATTGTAATCGCAAATTTTACTATAGTAATAATAAATGTTACATAGGATATTACTAATAAGGTTGAAAACTAAGGATACATTTAACCACTGATAGGCAAAGGCACAAAGCTATCAAATTCAGGGTCAAGAACAACCCTGATTAAATTTACAATCAGTAAAATATATTTTGCCATGTTTAAGATTTATTGTTAGGCTTGATTGCAAAACTAGACTTTTTTCAAAGTTTAAACCTGAAACCATAGAATAGAGAGTGACTCTTGCATATTAGGAAACATGAAAATGTCATAACAGCTATTGATTCAAGGCTGATTGATTATTTTAGATAAGAGAAATATGATTTGAATTTGGAAAAATCATCTTTTATTCCAACTCTTCTGTTGTTCAGGAACTGCAGTTTTGTTTAACTGTTGTTTTTAGTTAGATCAGTATTTATTATATCGTATTTAATTTATTGGTCCATTTGGTTGTACGAGGGTGATATTGGTGTCAATATATGTAATTTATCTCAATTCACTGTATTAGTTATATTGTGTGTAATTAGTTTCTTGTTTGTCGACCAATAGTGTTTGTATCTACCACTCTACCTCTTGATATTTGTCTTCAGAACATTAAATTTTTGCTTTTTATTTATAGGTTTATTATTTTTTTTAAACAAGACTGTGTGTATTTAAAATGAATATGATACAATATTTTATATGGAGAAAAATTATTGTTATCATTTACTTTACAAACTCCTCTAAAGAAGATGTTAGAAGAAGGGAGACATATTAGTTCTCCCTCCGTCCATTCCTCTCTCCTTCCATTACATTGTCCTCCCTCCCCCCACTTACAGATATGTGAATACTACAATCAAGAATAAGTGATGAGGGGGATAGGTGGCAGTAGGTGGAAGGCCATTTTCATTTCTTCATTATCTTGCCAAAACTGACTGGTAGGACAATAGCTGATGGTGATGAGCGCTGATGAGGTGAGTTTATGTTGTTTGAAGTTGTTAGTGATGCAGCACAATGATGAAATGAGGTTATTTGGTTATGTAAAACTTGGATAGCAGGAATTACAATATGCAGAATATGAAAGAGAATAATGGATACTGCTTGCAAAACATCGCATTTAAGAACTTGTGAAATGGGCTACCCAGAACTTATGAGGTTCACTGTAGTTTTCTTTTGAGAAATGTCTTTACACAGCTCCACAAGTACTCAGCTAGCAAGTAGTCAATTAGTAGACCCAGTGACCTCACCTGATTTAACCTTTCCTTGAGTTTTCATTATATTTTTATTTCTTTTCAATGACATTACTAAAGATATTATCATTGGCATTAAGGTTATAATGATGTTATTAATTATGCTAATAGAAATATATAATGAAGAGTATCGTTTCCAAAAATCAAGGAAAAGAGTAAACAGGTGAGATGGAGAGTACCAGTAATTGACTCTTTGGTGATTAGGTATTTGTGGAGCCATTGACATGTAAATACAATTAACCCCTAGCCGACGGGTGGCATGTATGTACATGCCACGGCTGTTGTGGACTGAAAGACGAGTAGCATCGTGTCATGCCCATTCCCACGCCACTGGCTCGTCGGACAGATTTTGTTTTTCTCCGATAGTAGCGGCTTCATTTATATGGTAAAGATTTTAGGCAATGGCACCTATAATGAAGGTAAACCTTCAAAATTTTAATATTTTCATAAATCATAGCAAAATAAAAGCATTTAGGTGCTAAATGTTGCTCGCAAACTACCGATCGAGCCTGGTGCAAACGGGAAACTGCCGAAGCGCGCCAACAACCCTGTCCATACGTCCACTTGCCAAACTTTTTACCTGTCGGCACTGGGTTAATAAACTAAACTCACAGTGAGCATGATGTGTATATATGCCATCCCAAGTGTCATTGGGATAATCCTTTGAATCCAGTTGCGTCATGGCAATCACATGGTGTTAGGTTACAGTAGTAGCCGCTCTACTGGGTGTGCAACACATAAGCTGGACACAAGGTTACAGTAGTAGCCGCTCTACTGGGTGTGCAACACATAAGCTGGACACACGTTAACACTCGTGTATGGTGACAAGACTGTATGCCTCTCCTTTGCAAAGTTAATTTGCAAATTTTAAAAAGTTTTTTGCCATTTTCCAATGTCCTTACTTGTATTTTAATTTGCTTTACCTAGAGAGTAGTAGACTTTTCCTTGCACAGACTCTAGATCATCTCTCTATGTAGTAGATAACTCAGTGCAAGAAAAAAGACATGTAACACTTTGTTATTTGTGTCATTTATCTTATTTTTTTGTAATGTTCAATTTTCCATAATAAGACCAGTACTGCTGGTCACAGTAGCCAGGAACATGATACTGAGCCAGCACTCTTTCCCTCATGACTTATGGACACTACATTCCACACTTGTTTATTGGTGGGAATAATGCAAATGCCCTTTCTAAATGCCAAATGAGGCTAATCAACCTCTGAGAGGCTTCAGCAGTTGTGGCAAGTCTTTTCCGCTTATGACGTCAGGTTCGCAATGCCCGGCCTGTGGCGATTTTGTCTCATGATGGCATGTTCACATCACTTGAACCCCAAATTTTTCCATGATATGATAGTCATGTCCCCTGGATTGAAGGAGTTCATGAAGATTTTCTTAATTGTCCAAAATTCTTTTTGTCAATGGTTAAGGTTATTCCTTACAAAATTCAGTATTCCCAAGTTTAATATCATATAACAATGTTTCTCAACTGGTGCTTCACAGTTTACAAATATGTCGCAATTACCCTTCAAGTGTGTAACATTTTTTACTAATGTGTAATGTTTTTTTTTGTCTGAAATATAGGGAAATGTAGAAAGTTGATCTAAGCCTAACATGAAGTTTCCCATTAATTGAAGCTTATTAAGGGGACCGTCCCTGGCGGTGGGGGGAGCGAGTCGGAGATTTTTGGGTCGGAGTGGTCGAAAATGAGTTATGGTCAGTTTCATATTCGTAAATGAGAGTAGAATTACCCACGGGAATATGAACTTCCGCGGCGAAAAATTTGGGCTGTGTGCGAGGCCAGAACCCCAAGTCCCACTGCCGCTGTGTCAGCGATTTTCATCCTTCTGCACTCTAGCTTCACAGGAGCTAATAAGATGCATTATATTTTGATATTACCTATTGAAATGGATCACAGGAAGATAAAAGTGTCTTATTATAACAGTTTTATACCAAAGTGAAAGATTTATGATATGAAAGACGAAGAAAAATAAAAAATTATTATGCGACTTTTCAAATTTCTTTCCGATAAAATATAGTAGATATGATTCGATGTTGACAAATTCATTATAAAAGTATGTTTAGGGTTCGGTGATAATACATGAGCAATTACAAGTCTGTATCTCCAAAAATAAACTCGCAGTGAATAGATATTCACATGGACTGGAGGCGTCCAAGGCCATCTCACAGGGACCCACGCGACAAAGCTCCAAGTGTCGCCACTGCTTTAGAATTTTCTGATTGCAATAGTTTTACGTATGCGCTTTCATTTGAAACTAAATAATTGATTAAACATCATTATGTCATTATAAATCCATTTACGAGAAAAAATAAATGTAAAGAAAGATTATGATAGAATTTATTTGTATAAACTCGTACAATTGGCCTAAAAATATCTGATACCTATTGTTACATCACAAGAAGCATCCATTATAAACGAATATACGAGATTTGATATAAGAGATTTGTATTTCAAAATATTTTTGATCTATCAACGTTTTCTGAACGGTTATTTGTAACGAACACTAAACATTTCATGGTCCCTCCATATCATGTACTCCGCTGGTGACTAAACGTTTATCTCTTGTTTCGAGGCTGAATCATGTGGTTAGGTGACGGGGAAGAAGAGTAGATTGGAATAAAAATAAAATAAATAAATGAAATAAATAATTATGGATCTAATAAGTATATGCGCATACACGCATATACAGGTGCATGACCATGTATCTTTACAATAATTTACATGTGTATACACATGTAAACGGATATATACACAATAAAACAGCAATAATAGAGGTATAAAACATGAAACAACCGATTTTATATAACGGTCATATTGTCTTGGGCCTGGATTTGCCCCTTTTCATGGGAGTCATTTGTTTGCTTGTTTCTATAACTTAGAGACTAATGATCATATCTTTACCTAACAAAGTGCGTTTGAAAGAGGAATAAGAGTAGTTTCTACAGTAATGAAATGGTAAAGATCCATAAATGAAAAAATATAAAAAATGATCTTCAGATATCCAACTTTTTGTTTGTTTGTTCTTTCAATGTTTCTTTTTTCGAGCTTCAAAAGATTCCTTGTCCTAGAATTTTTATCCGATTAAAATTTTGGATATATCTTTGGAAACCTTGTGGAAATGTGCAGACAACTGCCAAGCGATTTAATTGAAATGTTGCTTACTTTTTTTATACAAATTTTTGAAAATTGAAAAAAAACTAAAAATTATTATTTTGTATTTTTTTTTCTGAGGAAACTAAATTGAATTTCCAAAAAAGGGCTTGGTAGTTTTCTTAGGAATTCATTGATGTTCATTCACATTTTTTTTCATGACACAAATCATAATCCTCTGGGACAAGGAACCTTTTGCGCAGACACATGTGAAAAAAAATTGAAAAAAATGTTTTTTGCGGGGGCAGCGCCCCCCCACGTAGGAACCCCAACAAATTTGGTATCAAAAGATGCGGAATAGAAAATGCATAAAATATCCAAAAATCAAGAAAATCCATAAGACCTTTCATTTTTGAGAAATATTTACCAATATGACCCCCCACCCCCATAATTGGCCACGCCCCTTTTAGGGACGGTCCCCTTAAGTTTTCTTGTAGGGCTATTTACTGTACCTTGTACATTTTCAAGGAATTATGATAATAATCTACATACATGAATACATACTAGAAGTCTAGAATATATTTTTAGAATGTTACCAGATTGTAAAAGTTGAGAACTGCCTTACAATATACTTTGTGATATGGGGTAAACAGTTTGCCATGATTTCAGATTAGTCCATACCAATTGTATTTCATCATAGGATGATTTCAAAAAGTTTGAGGATAGGTAATAACAAATATTGAGGATGGTGAAAGATATGAATTATACTAGCACTAGATGCTGGCCTAGGGTTTGTGTACACATAATTCCCCCAAGATATCACAACCTATCATTTAAAAGTCATAAAAGCTTTTGTCCATGATGTTTGTTGTTGCTAAGATCTTTCTTTTATGTTTTCAGTATAATTTCCTTTTTTCATCCTTTTTTTATCTCATGTTTTTCTGGTTCTTCATTAGCCTGCATATGTAGATCAGTTGTGAATGAGAATGAATAATATATAACAATAAATTATTAATTTTCTTGTTGTAACTATTATCAAAGAACAATTATTAAAATAAAAATAGAGTAACCCACTAGCGATGGCACATTTTCAAGCCCAAAATAATGATTTCCGGGCAGCTTCAAAATCAGTGTGCGGGTGAGTCCGAGAACCTGCCGTGCGCCGCCGTCATGGGTAAAAATCAGAGTGTAGGCTCCAATCTAGGGTCACACCGGTGGGACGCTCGGTAATGTTAATTTTTCCGGGTGTCTCATATGTGTAACACCCATCATAAGTGGTTAACTCAACTTTATGCTGGTATATTATTCTTTTGCATTTATAAAAAAATGATGCAGTTTTTGATTTTACCCCTAGGTACAATCTAACGAAAGTGTGTTGCATCTGACTCCCTTGGTTGTCGCAGTTCCAGTGACCACAGAGACATCGAGTTCTCCCTCACAACAAGGGTTGGTGTATGTAGACAGCACCACTCAGGTAATAGTCCACACTAGAAGAATTATTTTTGCTGTACGGTGTAAACTTTTTTGTTGTATGTTTCTTGTAGGATCTGATTTGGCAGATGAATTTTGGTTAATCTGTCTCTTGTGAACCACACCACCACCCACCACCCACCACACCAACCACCACCACCACCACCACACACCACCACCACCACCACCACCACCACCACCACCACCACACACCACACACCACCACCACCACCACCACCACACCACACACACCACCACCACCACACACACCACCACACCACCACCACCACCACACACCACCACACACACCACCACCACCACACACACACCACACCATCCACACACACCACCCACCACCACACCACCACACCACACCACACCACACACACACACCACACACCACACCACCACCACACACCCACACCCACACACCACACCACACCACCACACCACACACACCACGACCAACCACACACCACCACCACCACCACCACCACCACCACACCACCCACCACCACCACACACACCACCACCACACACACCACCACACACACCACACACAACCACCACACCACACCACACCACACACACCACACCACACACACACACCACACACCACACACACACCACCACACACACACACCACCACACCACACACCACACACACACACACACACACACACACCACACCACACCACACCACCACACCACCACACACACCACCACCACACCACACCACACCACCCACCACACCACCACACCACCACACCACACACCACACCACCACACACACCACAACACACACCACCACCACACCACAACCACCACACACCACCACACCACACACCCACCACACCCACACCACCACACACACCACCACCCACCACACCACACACACACACACACACACACCACACACACACACACACACCACCACACCACACACACACCACACCACCACACCACACACACACCACCCCACCACCCACCACCACCACCACATAATAGATAAGATAATATAGTATGATATATGATGTGATATAATATGACATATAACAAAACATAATATAACCTAACCTAACAAAACAACCAAACACACACACAAAAAAAAAATACTTATGAAGAGATGAAGATGATAGTGGTAATAAGAGTAATTAAAGTAACATTAATTATAACACTTTTTCAGGGGGGACAATGATTATCTACTTAGTGGGAAAATAAAGAAATCTCACCCACCCAAAAATGGAAGACTTGTAATGTCTCGCCTCAACTGCTTGCAGAAGAAGTTGGTTACTGAAGAGCTTATAGGCCTAGGAGACTACACCTTTCTTTGTTAGTTGGTACCTCATGGCGTATCATTGAGGTTGTACCCCCACCCCTTTCCTCTTCCTACCCCCCCCCCTAAAAGAAAAAAAATAAGAAATTGAAATTTTTATGTTTTTCTTATTGTTTTCTTTTCTACTGGAGAAGAGGGTTCTCAGTTGTTGCAGCAGGGTATTATGATGTTTATTTCATAAGAGAGAGGGAGTAGATTTTTTTTTCCCCAGTGTAAATGGTGATAGACATTTCTCTTTGACTATAGTTGTTAGAGGATCATTCCAGATATATATATATATATATATGTTGAAATGGTTAGTTTAGTTTAGAGTGAGGTTTGCATTATTGTTTAATGACAAAGACTGAATAGTATGCCAAACCTAATCTTATGTGAAATATATGAAAAGAAGAAGAGAAAAAAACAATATTCTGTGATAATAGTTACAGTGTTATGTGTTAAGATTGTATTGAAAAAATCTGATGAAATGGTGATATTCTCAGTTTTCAAATTTCATGTGTCTCAGCTATCATGAACCTTGATAATTACCTTTTATATGGATTATTTAAACTTGTCTTTTGTGTATGGCAGCTTTTTAAATGAAGTCCTACAATGGCTTCCTTTGCTGTTATGATGATTGCAGTGTAACAGTTTGAAAAAGAAGGAAGAAGAGAAAATTTAAGAACCGGCAATTTAGATTTAGAAGCAATGCAGCAGCTGGATTATACTGTATTATTCTATTATTTATATATGCATATACAGTAAACCCCTATTTTGCCATTTTTTAAAATTAATAAATCAATAGATAACATATACTGTTAAAATACAACAATAATAAATGAACTAAGTGAGAATTACTCAAAGCAGAGCCAACTAAAACTCAGCACTGATGTTACCCTTCCAGATCTCATCCATATCTGATATTAACTCTTGCTGTGGTGAATCTTGTAGA